ATAGAATCATAGAATCATAGAATCATAGAATCATAGAATGGTTAGGGCTGGAAGGGACCTTCAAAGGTCATCTAGTCCAACCCCCCTGCAAGGAACAGGGATATCTCCAACTAGATCAGGTTGCTCAGGGCCTCGTCCAACCTGGCCTTGAACGTCTCCAGGGATGGAGCATCCACCACCTCTCTGGGCAACCTGTTCCAGTGTTCTACAACTCTCATGGTAAAAAATTTTTTCCTAATATCCAATCTGAATCTACCTCCCTCTATTTTAAAACCATTCCCCCTTGTCCTATCACAACTGGCCCTCCTGAACAGCCTCTCCCCATCTTTCCTGTAGGCCCCCTTGAGGTACTGGAAGAATCTAATATTAGATTATATCTAATCTAAATCTGCCCTCTTTCAATTTAAAGCCATTTCCCCTTGTCCTATCACTACTCGCCCTTGTAAAAAGTCCCTTTTTACATTATAGGACATGCTAATATATTATGCTATAACAAAATACAGTACATTACATTCCCATATGTTTATAAGAATGCATTATATTACAGTAATCGATAACACAAAGGAATTGCATATTCAAAGACTCTTGCTTTTGTAATTTTACCTTCAATATTCTTCAAACATCCCTTCTTACACTTTAAGCCAGAACTTATTTCTTAAGATACAGTCTTACTAGTACTCTTGACAGAGAAGTTTCAATGGAGACATGAGAACAATTCGTTTGAACATGCATTTACGAGAGTGGGTGCTTATGGTGTAAGTGTCTCCTTCAGTACAGGGTATGGCAAAAGGATACTGGGCCTGTTTTAACCTTTCAGAAATCCATAGTAAACCAGTCTTTGATTGAGGAACACACCCCATGCTCCCTACTCACAGGAGACAATTTTTCTTCCTAAATAATCCTACCAAGAGGGTTACAAAGAAACAATTCACTGACTATCACATTGTAGAAGTAAACAGATCAGGATTTGCTCTGACATCCCAGTGTCCAACGTTAATAATAATAATAATAATATAATAATAATAACAACCACAAATGTGAAACACAGCATTAAAAATTATACCAACTCACAGATATATGAAGTAACTACTTTTTTAAACACTGGAAAGCTCTGGGCTCAGGAACTGTCCAAATCAGTGATCTCTCTATAGATACGCTACAGCAGGTATTCACATTAAGGAACAGCAGGTAACACTATGACAATAAACTGTAAACACTCATTATGGGAAAATTTCTGAGTTCTTTTTAATAGAAGTATAAAGATCAAATGTAGCTGAAAACCACCCAGTTAACAGAACATGAATGGCTGTAGAAAAAAGAACTAGAGAAAAGTCAATTAAAAAATAAGACTATCTTGTTATGAAGCCAGCTGCTAGATGATGCTCAGCAAGCTAATTCAGGTCTTGCTTTTCATATATCGATGCAGGCTAGACACCCAGCAGCCACAACAGCCCTTTCAAAGACAAACACCTGGTCAGACAGAAGAGCAGCAGGGGAAAAGGAAGTAACTTCATTCGCACAAACCCTTTATACTCTGTAAGATAAACTTTCAGATGCAGTGAGTGAAGTTTTCTTCAAGTTTTCTGAGGTATCACACTGACTTGGGCAGGGGTTGCACTCTTCAGCCAGTAACAGGCACAGCCGTGTAGTCTTCCCAAGCCATTCTCAGCCTGTATTCAAGACATCTATATTCCATGTTTCAGGTGTTTCCTCTGTAGCTAACATAATCCCCACTGAGTAGCACCCAAAAGATGAAAAAAACCTGGAATTTCCAAGAATCTACTTTGGACAATTTTAAAAGCTGCTGAATGCTTTATAACTTCGTATTTGTATTTACAGGGAAAGACTACGAGTTTCTAGTTCAATCTCTTTGTTTGTTTACAGGATACCAGGTTCTATTGCAAGAAGAGAATTCTACTGACCCTGAGGCCCTCAAGATCCCAGCACTCTGGAGTCTTTTACTCTCTTCCCTTATGGCTTCTGACTGCCTTAGGATTCATGATGTCCTGTCCACTGGCTAGCACTATAGTCACCCTGGAAGGGTCAAAACCATGAAGACTGAAAAAACCAAGACGGAAAATTATATTCTGATCTTTAACTCCTCCCCTGCTGACAAAGAGAACTCTATGTAGTTGCAGGCATTGCTTCTTTACTAAGATAATCAGGTTCAAAGACAGGAGTGTCAAAGAAATGCTAACACATTAGAAATAAAACTACATGTTATAACATATCATCTCAACCGACATTAACCATACAATCCAAGTATTATTGCCAAACAATAATGAAGTGCTTAACTGGAGGAATAGAACAACAAAGACTTGGGTTTCATTGTTTTGGAAGTAGGTGTACAACAGAAAGAATGTGGCTGCACATCCAGACACTGCAAATGTCCATAACCTTGCTGACATAAATGACTTATTGTTTACTAATGAGAAGACCAAAAGACAAAAGTACAGAAGAACTCCATTTAGAGTGTAAAGCACTCAACTGCCCACTTTATATTCATCTAAAGTCAATGGAAAAGAATACAGAAAATGATAGGCCAAACCTGCAGGTGCTTTAAAATCATGTAACTCTATTAAAATCATAGAATCATAGAAGCATAGAATGGTTAGGGTTGGAAGGGACCTCAAAGATCATCTAGTTCCAACCCCCTGCCATGGGCAGGGATACCCTCCATTACACCAGGTTCCTCAAAGCCTCATCCAACCTGGCCTTGAACACTTTCAGGGATGGGACATCCACAGCTTCTCTGGGCAACCTGTTCCAGTGCCTCACCACCCTCTGAGTGAAAAATTTCTTCCTTAGATCTAATCTAAATCTGCCCTCTTTCAATTTAAAGTCATTACCCCTTGTCCTATCACTACATGCCCTTGTAAAAAGTCCCTCTCCAGCTTTCCTGTAGGCCCCCTTTAAGTACTGGAAGACTGCTATAAGATCATCCCGGAGTCTTCTCTTTTCCAGGCTGAAGAGCCCCAACTCTCTCAGCCTGTCTTCATAGCAGAGGTGCTCCAGCCCTTGGATAAATGGAACTACATAAACTTGAAGAGAAAGGTCTAGTTTTTTAATCTGTAAATTCACTCTACTCTGAAAAAATGCTCATGGTGGACAGAAATACTTCTTAAATCAAAGATTTCAAAATTAAAAGAATGAAAATGAAGAAGCAATTCACTTATATAAGGATAAATTAATAGAGAAGTGTAGTGTCTGAGGCTGAACAACCTACAGGACATGATAAACTGACAGGCTCATAAAATTAGAAAAATTATTACTGAGTAGCAAAGGAAAATGCATGGATTTAATAATAAATAAACCGGAGGATAAATAATGTTTAATGATTAATAACACAGCTCTTTCTGAGCTAAAGAAAAAAAAAAAAGATTATCCAAGCCAGTGACTGGAATGCTTCAGCTTGTATTCAAATTACCTTTGAACACATTTTATTATAAAATGACTAATTCCCTTCAAATTGTAAGCAATAATTAACCTCAATGCCACAAAGACTATTCATTTTAAACCATATTCTACTTTTTTGCAGGCTCCAAGTGATTTTTGTCTTCAATTTCCTTTTACATTTTCTTTAGAAATAGGTGAGATTAGTAAAAAGCTTCTCCGTTCTCAAAATGGAAGGACTTATACTGAATTAACTCTTAAGGAAGATGTTCTAAAAGTTAATGCCAAACTGGGCCTGTTGGGATCACTCCTGACAGCAAAATTTGCAGCATCTGTAAACACAAGTGAGTTAGGATGGTCTTGGAAAATCCAGAACACGTACTTCACATATCCTCAGCAAAGGGCTTGGAACTGCGTTACAGGATCTGCTGTTTTTCTCATACACAAGATTATTGCTCAGCACAGAGACCGAGTTGCACTGAAATTAATGGGTGTTTTGAGCATTTTACGATCTTACACTATGGTGACATGTGTGGTATCAGAAATGCAAGCAAGACATCCAGACAAGAGCATAACTGTTCAAAAGCTCACACCCCGCTGGCAGTCACTGAAATGGAGGGAATGGAAATTTGGCAGGAAAGGGAAACAAAAAAGTTCTGTTGGCCATTATTCAACTACTGTCTTGAAGGATTCATATTCTCAAATATCAAGTTAATTATACTCTGTATTCTTTATGCCAAAAAACCTGTAATGTGTGAATTCACCACTACAACAATCAGAGATGCTATCTTAACTTCGGCTGAAATTCAGCACTCTGCTTCAGTGTTTTGCACAAAGAATATATCCTGAACCACAGGTGATAACCATTTGAAAATTAGGTTGAATTTAGTGGGTTTCTAGCAAATGCAAAGTGCAGAAATGTTTGTGAAATGTAGGTTTCTTGATGGGCTCTGCAGCTAGAACTGTATGCACCACATAAGGCTTTCTTATAGTTGCTCCTTCCATTGACACATGACATTGTAGGACAAAATGCCCACACACAGCACCAAATGGGGAGCTAATACTAAAGAAAACACTTTGCGGGTGTAATGTACAAGCGTTATTCAGACAATACTTGGTTAGTACCTCCAAATTAAATTCCATGGTTGGCATACATTACCTTCCTCGGCTGATGAGTCAGCCCAGAAGGCATGCTGGACTACAGTTCTATTGACCTTTTTACTTTCACATTCTGTCTACAAAGACTGGCTTCTGTCACATGAGGAATAACCTACTCCACACTAAAAATCCTGAATTATTACTTTGGTCATCTTCAATGGAAGCATATACCATAAAAGAATTCTTTTATATATGACAAATGCAGTAGGTAAGCTCAGGTGTTCAGTCTTGTGCGTATGCAGCACATCAGAGATTGAAATCTGGGATGTGAGTGAAAATTTTCAAGTGCCGCCTTTTCAGCGGCATAAGGGAATGCCAGCTGACTGTTTCCATAACTCCATCTTCTGTGTAATTTACAGTCCGAGTCATCTACTTTTCTGACCCTACAGTGGTTTCATGTTCCACCTAATCCAACCTAACTGCCAGTTGTTGTTGCCAAGGATGGTTCTGTTGTACCTCTTCTGGAAATGTGTTCCCTCTGCCATTCCCATGATAGATACAGCAAGCACATGGCCACAGAATGTGTCAGAGTGGTGCACCACTTCAGAAAAAAACAACACTCAAAAAGCAACAAACTCAGAAAAAGAGATGAGCTTTCTGTTAAATCAGTGCCCCAACCAAATCCAAACTGTAACCTGTAACTTCGGAATTGTGAGATACAGCACATGGGGGGCAGCAAACGGGGGGAGAGGGGAAAGGAAAATGGAGTATGATCACCTCTCCTGCTGGGAGCCCACAGTCAGCTCTGCTTAAGCGCCGCATTAAAACTGCACTGGAAGTGCAACGGCAGAGATTCCAGTCAACAATTAGCTATCCAGCATGCTGAACTATGAAAAAGTGCGAGGAATGTAATTGACCATGGGATGCTGACATCTTGACGCCTTTGGATCTCAGCAAGGCAGACTTGCACTCTGAATGGTAAATCGCCAATTATACTTGATTGTGCAAGGATCTGTTAAACGTTTTTTCACGTTTTAAAATTACAATTTTTTTTTTTATTTCTATCTCCCCCATACTTCATTCTTGTATGTCCTCTGAAATAAATGTGTTTTAAACTAGATCTTATTCCTGAAAATTACAGGACATTTGCTAAACTTTACATAGTTACAAAGAACACTAGAAGTCACAGAGACAACTGATGGCTCATGAACATACGCACAACCGCTACTGGAAGGAGGAGACTTCAGTGGCACCTGTTGTAATGTCAGGCCAATGCCAATTTGGGCTTGATCCTCTCAGATGATTTTCAGCTCCCATTAAAATAGGGATTTACCTCAGCATCTTCCTGGAGACAACTCTTTGTCTTTAAAGCACTACAGCTACTTACAGCGCAACCCAAGAGCAATGAGATAGTAAAGTGACAGCAGTTTACAAAACTACTGCTTTTCTATACATAAAAGTTTAAGTACGGTTATATAAAAGATTAAGTAAAGTTATGTAAAAGGAGGTTACACTGAGACAGCACCTAATGGCTGCAAGTTTATTTACGATTTTATTTCCCCGCCCTCCGCCCCCCCTTACCTTCTGCTTGATATAAGTCGGGCTACTTTTATTCTGCTCGCAGCGAGTGACATTGGTATCGCTGACGAAAGAGGAGTTGTACTCTTCTTTTGGTAGATGAACTGCTGCACCAGCGGGCTTGTCAAGGAATAGGCAAACATGTAGATGAAAATGACGGGCTCCACGCACAAAACCTTCCTCATTTCTGGCTCTGGGGTTCAATCCTGTGCACCAGAAAACAAAACGC